TTTTGTTAAACACAAGCATCCTTCTTCCTGTTCCCATGCCATTTCCATTCTGTCTCCATAGTTGTGAGTTGGTTGTTTTTTTGGGTTGATTTTTTTTTTTAAACCTTCCTCCCCCCAACATCCACTAAGACCTGCCTCCAAGTTCTTGCATAGTTGAAGTATATATGCCGTACTTAGCTTTCTGAGTGTGAATTTCTGACTGTGACAAGAGTATGAGTTGTAACCATGTTAACAAATAACCAGAGTGGTTCTAGAAACCATTTTTATAAAGTCTACCTATGTTAAGAATTTAATATTGGTGTACATTTATATTAACAGAATATTTACAGTTTGTTTTCTTTGTTTTGTTTTGTTTAAAACAAGAAGTCAAAAAAAATTCCTCTTAAATTTCTGCATAATATAATAAGGCAAAAAACAAACAGTTTTGTACATTATTATTATTATTAATATTTTAATATATATCTGTAACTTCGGTTCCAAAGTACCAAGGTAAGTGATCAATTGGCCTCAGAAGGGAACCTCACAGTGGACTGTAAAACTACAGTATTTCCATAAATAATACTTTTAAGAAACCCTGGGTATTTTTTTCTTAAGGATCTGAGGCCTTTAAAATGCAAATTTAACTAAAAACAAAAGCAAAATTTCTTCTTTTTTAAGTGAATAAAGAGCACAAAATTAAAAAAAATACAAATCCATTAAAAATGTTTCTCACATTTGGGAAAAAATGTACAAACTTGATATTTTTTAACTCATTTTTTTTTAGCACAGAAACAAAAAACAAAACCAAAAATCAATACCTATATATTAAATTCCCATTCTCAGCAACCTTCTTGTTGGAAAGTCTGCACCCCGACCCCGTTATTTATGGAAATGTGCTTAACTTCTACAAATTTTACATTTAAAAAAAAAAAGTTTACAGCAGTGCATTTTGTAAAAGGTTTGTTTTTTGTTTGTTTTTTCCTGTTTGTTTTTTTTTGTTGTTTGTTTGTTTTGTTTTATGTACAGGCGAGTTTAAAATTCAATGTTGGGGACTATCGTGCCTCTACTTCTTTGGGGTTCCTAGAGGGGGAATAGTCCCTGGACTCTGAGTTTGTGAGTGGAGTAGTCCTGCGTGGGGAGGCAGGTCTGGTGCTGCTCGCTGGTACCAGAGGCGGTGGGGCGCTCAGCGCTGCGGTTGGCGGGTTCCTATTTAAAATCCCATTGTGCATGGCAGTGGATGGACTCAGTCTGGGGTAATGCATCCCGCTTAAATGAGGCATGAAGGATGGCACGTGCGCCAGGTGACTTTCGATGGGGGACGAGTGCAAGTGGTGCATTCTGGCACGCTCAAGTTCTTCTCGTAAGTGCAAGCGCTCTCTTTCCTCCACTTGCCGCAACCGCTCCTGCTCTCTGCGGGCTTCAAGAAGGTTTTCATGGTTATAGTCGTGTGGCTCCCTGTCTCTATAAGAACGGTCATGATCATAAAATCCAGAGGCAGTAGGGAACCTATGGATAGGATCCGTCCGGAGCTGGAAGTCCATTCGACGGTGCAGGTCTAAGCTCCGGTAGGCATCTCGCAACGGGTCCCGCATTGGGTCCCAAGAAAATCCAGGATGTGGCAGCCTCTCTCTTCCTGACAAAGGATTCATGCCTATGAGCGGGGTCATCATCCTGCTGCGGTCCAGAACATTCATGTTGTTCATCTGGTGCACGCTGCCCATGGAGATGGGCATAGAGGCAGCCATCGAGTGAGGCAATGATAATCCATGCAAAGTGGGTGGTGGGGGATGCTCCACTGATCGAGAGTGCTGGGAAGGCTCAGACCCTACCACCAGCACATCACTGTCTTCCTTCCTCTCCTCTTTGACTTTGATGTCATTCTTAATCTTCTGGAGGTCGCTGGGAAGCTCTGTCTTTCTCTCCATGTCCTTGCTCATTAGATTGGTAAGCTTTAAGCTCTCACTTAGCGCAGGTTTGCTGTATGGGGATACAGACTGGATTACTGGCTTTGTGTTGTCCTCAGAGGGTCTCTTATCATGGCTTGGAGTTTCTTTCACTGGGGAACGGCTCTCTTTAATCTTGTGTTCTGCTATGGGCGGCTCTCTCAGCCGGTCAGGGTGCTCTCGCTCGGGTTCTTTGGACCTTTCCCTTTCACCGAGGCTAACTTGCCTGATGGGATCACTGGAGGTTTGGCTGTTGCTGCGGATGAGATTGCTTATCTGATGTGTCACTGGAGCCGATGCCGGTGAAGATCTGTTTGAATGTCTGTTCTTATCCATGAGGTCTCTGTGAAAAGAGAGAACAGACATCCTTGGTTTTGTGTGAACAAACATACATGTGATGCTGGACATGCATAGTGCGGTGTCTAGCTGTGTCATTTGACATTGCTCAGAAAACGGTTTGAAAAGCTTTGCTAGCATCAGCTATAGCAGCGATGCTACACTAGAAGATACGTGCTACATTCCTTTACATGCTATACAGAAAAAAAATCCTAAACGTTCAGAAATCTGGGGACTAAATTGGGGATGCATTTGAAAGAACAGTATATTCACCTTAATAGAATGGCCACTTCATGGAGAAATGTAGTGAAAGAAGAATTCTAGACAGCTTTTTTTAAAAAAAGATGCTTATTGTTTGGTTACATATACATCCTGCTGCCAGACAATGGTTGTCTTGGCTGTAACACTCTTCAAACATGAATTGAGGCACACAAAACAGACGCCTACAGAAATGTACACAGGTCCTTCACAAGACAGCCTCGTGGACTGGAAGCAGACAATACAATGCTTATTTTCTGTGGAGCTGCAGGAGAGTTTTTGTTGTTGGCAGTTTTGGCAGGTAAAGTGCTTACGGAAAAAAATCCTTGAATAGGCCAAGAAACTGAGTAATTGACCTCTGTTTCAAGAGGACCTGCTATGAGGAACAAAGGGTTTGATGACCATGTCCATGATCTAGAGAGAAGCACGAGGGTTCACATTTCTAACTGCATGTCTATCTCTGAGCAAGCCAGTTAGTCACAGTTACTCACACCTCTTTAAGAGGAGAATAAATAATGCTCAGCTTTTAAAAGCACTTTGCTCTGAATGAGAGATTCTTTAAACACAAAGTATGATGGTGTGATTGAGAGAACTGCATTATGAGCTGAGAGGCTTGCTGATACCCAAGTTTTATGCTGGGTTTGCTTTCGAGAGCTATAAGACCTGAGTGCTGAAAGCTGGAGGTGTTTTGGGGAGTTCTGTAAGTATTTATCCCTTATGATTACATTTGCTAACCCAGATTTCCTCCTCTGTGGCAGTCCTGATTGCTGGTCAAGGATGTGGTTTTTCAAAATCACGTCCAAACAGGGATGCTGGGGACGGCTTAAACTGAATTAATAGAAATGTAATAGAGATGTTAACCCCTGTGTGAACTCTTAAGAGTGAAGTAACCTTCGTTTGCAAATGAATTACACTAAAGCCAAGAAGGGAGCTTCCATCTGAATCCATTTAAGGGTGTCAGACAATTTAACATTTAAAGCAAGCTGATTTTCAGCCTATTGCTTCCATATCATCTTGTTCACAGGCACCGCCTGAAGATCTCACTAAAAGCGCTCCGGGCAAACGATGAACCCCCCCTATCACTAGTCAAATACACACATCTAAGGCTTGCAGGCTGTTACTGCCTACAAAGTAGCCTGTTGGAGACCAGGCTCTGAAATATAAAGGGCTTTACAGCTTCAAAATCTTATAACTGGAAGCTAATGAAGTATCTATAGCCCAGGTGATACAGTCCTGTCATCGTTAATAAGGGCTTGTCTACAATGCAATTTTTTAAAATCAGATTTGCTAATGGATTCATGCACACTGCTCCAGATACAGGCATTTGCATTTTTATCTCGTTAATGTCCAGCTAACATTTGAATTCATCAGCATATCTGTACATTAATGAGAACTGTGACTGTCTCCAAAGGATCCATCATAATGCCACCTTCATGATTACAGAATATACAGCAATCCTAAAGCAGCTGCATTGAAAACAACCAAGTATACCCTGAAAACACAGCGACACGCTCACTTCCTCAGCCTGGTGCTTTTTATTAACTTACTAGTGGGGACTGGCTTACCATATTTCCACAGCAGACAAATCCTAAAAGGCAAAGAGGGGTTTTTTGTGCTGCTAGTACGTGTGCTTGTCTGAAGGAGAGGCCTATCAGCGGCTTTAAGACAAGCAATGTTTTGCTCTAAAGATGATTTTAAGATCAGAAAATTAGAAAAAATATAGAGGAAAAAGAATCCCAGAAGAAAGTACTCAAAAGCACATGCTGCTCACCTCTCTTTGTCTCTGTCGTCTTTACTCAGAGAAAGATCCCTCTTCTCGGGCTCTCGCTCCCGCTCTCTGTCTCTGTCATGGTTTGTCACTGAGGAGCTTCGCTCAGAATCGGTGGGCTTGGGCCACTGTGGAGGTGTTGGGAAGGACGGTGGGGTCCGATGGAGTCTATTCCATGGCTCGTGGGGATTATTGAAATTCTGCAGGTTTGGGCCATCTTTGTGAGTAAAAATGTTGTTGTGAGCTAGAATAATGGCAAGGGGAGGAAAAGTTAAAAGTAATTCAAACCAAATAACTACATATACATTTTTCACAATGCTAACCACAACCAGAACTGTCCTTTCAAGACTTTTTAATGTGGACCTAATGGTGAGGGGGAGCTACTAGCAGGTACCTCCAAGACTGGGTGTAAGATCCACCAGCTCTTTTAAGGCTATTGGTGGAGGAAGCTTTAACTATAAATTTGAATAACTCAGAGATGACTGAAAATGCCCAGCTCCTCTTCTCCCCCCACCCCAGCAAGGGTTCCAGCACAAAAGCAGTACTTTTCCTCAGCTCCTCTCACTGGCAGAAACTTTAATTTGTGGGTAGTTACAAGCAATCAGCTGCCTGCAGCTGAGGACTCAGGGACTTTTTTGTTAAAGAAATCAGACTATTTGGTGGTATGTATGTGTGTGTGTAAAAACAGCTTGGCTGTAGGCCTTTCAGAACGGTCACTTGATTCTCCTACACAAATCTTCAACTGATTCCTGTTGCACCATGAGATGCAAAAGCATGCTCTCTTATGTTTGGCTCTCAAGCATGTCTTGCCTACAAGTAACATCTTTAAAGAAAAATAATTTTATACAGGTAATTTAAACAGAGGAAATCTACAGGCTGAATCAGGAGAAGTATCAATAGCTGTTCCACTATGTGTCTTTGCCGTTGAAGGGTGTTACTTTAGATGCCCGTAGGGTCCCAGAGCTTGGTGGGGTCTTGCAGCTCCAGCACCTCCAGGAGCACGCAAGGTATCAACCTTCAGCAGCGAGGAGACACAGAGCACAGCTAGTGATGTCTGTGACATGCAGAAAAGCTCCCACCGCAGAGACCTGGAAATCTTAGGTGCAGTGTTTTCAGATAGGAGAATGGAGGTTAGGAATTAAACTTCTTTAAAAACTACCACCAGCTGCTGTAAATATTAGCATGTGGCTTTTCTGGAAGGGATGTTTGTCTGCAGTAACCCAGCCAGTACTTACTCAGAGCATGACTGCCTAATCCTCCAAAGGCATTGCTGCCTAAGTTCCCAAGGCCGCTGAAGGTGCTTGACCTGCTAAATGGATCTGGAAAGGCAAACAGGGATTTAGCAGGCATTTAGCCAAGAATGTTGGAGAATGAAATGCACCCCTCCCCTTCTTAACGGTCTGAATCCAAGTAGGATTAAGCCAGACTTTAAGCTGATCCTTCTCATTGCAAGGTTCTTTGCACAGAAAATTCCCATCATGTTAAAATGGAGAAGGGATTCAGTGCTCACTCTGCAAACAGGTGCTGTAAAAAACTTTTGCATGCCAGTCCGAGGGGAGCTAGAAATTAAGGTCTAATAGCTGAAATTAGGGTGGCTGCTGCTGAGCTATAACTCTCCTTCCTTACCAGTACTAATAGTACATTGCAATTGCCTTGAAAGAAGAACCTCGGCAGGCACCTCAGTCGGCATATTGAGGGGATGCATTGTTTCACTCTTGTTTCTGTGTGCAGCTTCCTACCCTCTTTGTAACAGTGCACAGACAGTCCTAAGCTAATTGCTACGGACATCCATCCTTACACCAACTAACTTTGGCTTGTTTGTGCCAAAATCCTCTCCCATCATAGCTTCCTTGATCCCAGTGGTGGTGGAAATTATAGCGCAGTCTTAGGAGCTACTATGACAAACGGATGGGAAGTTTGTATCCTTTGAGGCAGAAGATGAATCTTGCCTTTCCTAGTCAAGTATCTGACTACTCAGCTACTGGCACTTGTCATTATAAAAAGTCCTGCCTTTGTTTTTCATTAAAGGCGCCCATCATCATAAGAGATTCCTCTCTGAGTGGATATAGCCCGACTCAGGTTTCTGCACTCCAGAGATTGCTATGGGTTAAGCCGTACCGGTGTACTTGTTTTCTTCCCTATTGGTCATCTCTAAACAACTCCTCTGTCTGCCCACTGGCTTTTTGACTGTCCTTTTAAGGTCTCTAACTTGCCATGTTACAGGCGGTGTGTTGCTCTCCTCTTCCTCACAGACATCCCTATATTTAAAATATCAAGGCAAATAGCACAGATCTTGGATAAATAGCTCAGATCTTTAAGCAAACAGCTATTTACTTATTTACTTATTTTTAAATAGCTGTTCTTGCCCTTCCACTTTGATACTAAGTAGTTGAGTAACTCTGTAGAGATACAGTTAATTTTGACAGAATGTTCAGGAATTGATGTAAATCTGAGTATTTGCAACAGAAAAAAAGTCTACTAGGTCATGTGGCATACCACATTTACTGATTGGACAAGTGTTACTAAAACATTAATCAACAGAGCTTGAACTTTAATTGGCAATGAGCTGCTTGTGAGCTTCTAAAATGAGGAAATTTGAGAAAATCAGGCTCTACTTACTGCCAATTAGGAAACTGAAAGGCTGGCAAAACGTGCAGAACAGCTATTTGCCAGCAACTGTTCACTGAACTTTATTAAAGAACCTAGGCAAGAACTTTTGTAGGTGGGAAACGGTACAGGAGGAGTCCATTTTAAGCTGTGCGTTGTTTGAGATACCTTTGCATAAATTTCCCCCATTTCCTTGGGCACATTCAGCAGCACAGAAGGACTCTACAGGTCACATTTCAGCTCCTGTGCAGTGTCCCAGCAGTGACAGACTTGCCTGCTCTGCAATGCCCTCTTCTCTCGCAGGAGAAAGGCTGCTTGTCCTGCCCCTCTCCTTTGGAGGAGAGCAGAGGGGCTGTGCTGGGAAGCTGGCATGGGTGAGAATCATGGAATGGTTTGGGTTGGAAGGGACCTTAAAGATCATCTAGTTCCAACCCCCCTGACATGGACAGGGACATGGCGAGAATCTGTCTAGCTCCTGGTTCCTGGGACAGTTTAAGCCTCTCCCTCCCCTAGTGCTACAGCGCCGCAAGGCAGGACCACACCAGGAGCCAGGATGGGTCAGAGGTGTAAGGTGAAGGCAGCGTTTACTCACACTTACCTGCCAAGTGGTTAGTGGGCAAGAAACTGCTGTGGTGAGGTGAAGGACCAAACGGGGTGGTGGCTGGATGCGTCGCACCTGCAAGAATAAGGTCCCTTTTTAGTTCAGTGGCAAGTAACTGCTCGCACACCCAGGGGTCCTGGCTGTCACGCTCGAGAACCAGATGCACAGGCCAGAGTTAGACACAGCAAAGGCAGGGCAAGACCCAACCACCATCCGAGCAAGCTGCAGGCAGGATTCCTCTGAGTGCCTTTTAAAGGAGTCTGTGGGCGCTAGGAGGCAGGAGGAGATCTTGCACTGAGTGTTGCCTCACCTGTAGTACTGAGGAAGTGAATCTCTTTGTCTGGCCTTTTCCATCATTACTCTGTGTTTACATTAACAAGGGTCAGCCCAGGTTATGGGCCCAGACAGAAGGTGCTCGGAAGTGGCTGATTACAGTCTGTGTGAAATACCAGCTAATGACAGGCACGCAGGGAACATCCATCATGCCTCTCCCATGAGAGCTCCATCTAAGCTCTCACATCTGTCTCTGCATCCACAGGCTCCCCCTGCGGCACTTTTTCCCCTTTCCTAGACACTGCTCATTGCCATGGTGCCATGCTGCCTCCTGGGAAAGCCACACCACTGCTGAGCAGGCTGGATTACACATTAGGTTGAAGAAAGGGTGAGAATGGGCTGAAACAAGCTGGTCTGTCCTGTATTTCAAGATGGACCAGGCTCCTGCAGAAAATTCTGCTCTCCTTTCAGAGCAGAAAATGAGAGATTTGCTTCCAGACACATGCAAACCTGAACTTTGCAACTGCCGTGTGAAAAGCACTGAGGTCACCTGCCACTGGGATACGTGGTTTTTGGAGGAACACTAACTACCGTGTATCCTGCAAATGACAGTATGTTTGGGCAACCTCACGGGCCTGGCTTTCACCCCCTAAGATTAGTACAGACGATTTTCAGGTTGCACCTGAAATAAACTTCTGAATATTCATGTTTCAGATGCGTGTGACAAAACGTTAATCTGTGGCTCCAGTATTGCACTGACAAGAGCAGCCCTCTCCAACTGTCACACTCTGAACATCCTTTCGGTGCCTCCTCCCTGCCAGTACTTCTACTGCTGCAGACAGAGGTGATAGCAACTATCATAACTTTCTGATGCTGCTCGGATGCAAACACAACTTCTGCCTCCCTTGCAGAAAGCCAGACCTGCCCTACCTGTGCATTAACTGTCTCATTTTGTTAGAAAGTAGTAATTCCACACAATGACAGAAGCAGCACTTTGCTGAGGACATGTTAAGTCATATGGAAAACAGACCAACACCTAAATAAAGCTTTTCAGTGCTCCTGCCTCATGTATTTTGATGGTAAAAGTTAACCTCCCTTAATACTGGGAAGAGTAACAGGTCAACTCTAGCGAACACCAGCAGCCATACTGGGAATGAACATGGGGTCTTCACTAACAGCTGACTCACCCAGTCACTGCTTTCTCAAGTGATAACTTTCTGTTATAGACAAGAGGATTATGATCCTTCTCCTCCCACCTGGCACTCCAGCTCTCCTGTCTCCATCACCACAAAAACTTCTGCCTTGTCTGTGGCCCAGACAAATGATTCCCACCAGTGGCGGACCTGCTCTGGTAAGTTCCTGCCCCTCATCTCCAAGCCACATCAAATCCATGTTTCTATGATACATTGTCAGTGCTGATAACACCATGGAAGGTCACAGCAAAAGCGGGAGGAAATGCAGGGAAGAAATTAATATGCACAGGAGAAACTGCATCCCAAACAAAGACCAAACAGCATTTTACAGAGGCGCATCAGTCCGTGAGCTGGTCTTCCTTGGTGACAGAGCCCAACAACAGATGGTTGCTGCAAAATGCATTAATGTGTCCAGAACATGAGCAGACTATAAAACCAGAGAAGGAGACAGTGCTACGTGTCCCTCACCAGCTTGGGCACCACAAACCTAAGCAGCCAGAAAATGAGTTGAGGAAACTTAAGAGAGACCACAGCAATGAGACCTGGAGTTATCTATAAACATTCTGGCTGCTCCAATGCTTCAAGACGGATGGAGACTGTCATCTTTCTAATCCTTTAAGATTTCAGAAGGTGTATAATGGATGGGAGATTTCTTCGAAGGAGACGGCTTACAAACTCAACTACATGGGCTGATAATAAAAAATCCTCTGGAGAAAGCCAGGAGCAGCATTGCAGGCTGTCAGGTAGTTATTAAATATAGCGTCTGCCAGGCAGCTGAACATCCGTCCTGAAGACAGGTGGCCCTAAGATAACTTATGTCTCCCACAGTAACTAGGCAATGCAGCAGAACCAATGATTCACATCAACTGCACGCTTGTTCGATAAGGTGAGAAGAATGCCTCGGATATTGCAAAGTAAAAGATTTATTCATCTATATATTACTGCTGCAATGTTTGTTCACTTTGATAGCACTCTTTACCTAGATTTACCGTGTGATGGCTCTTGTGATTAATATACTCACAGACAAGTTGCTGTAAGGTTGTTTATCTCTAGTGAAAGTTTTCTATTAATTTGCCTTCTTTAATGTATCTATTCCATACTACTTCCCTTCTTGCTTTTATGCATGGAGAAGGAAGCCATGCTTGCATCTTTAAGAGAAAAAGCTCAAGATATGAACTGGACTGGTGCTTTTCTGCCTGTTAGGGTCAACTCTAATATACATGAAAAAGCATTGTTGTAATGACAATACAGGACAGACTGAAGACACAGATAAGGAAACAGCTGCCATAGGAACACAGTCAGAGGTTTGTACATCAGCTGTGCTTATGCATCCAAACAGATGCAACAAATATTTTGGCCCCATACTATCAAAGTACCCTTACAGACACCAAAATGCGGGGTAACACCCTAAAATGTACAGCTATGATCAGCACTGATTATACGTGGTGGAAACACGCATGTGATGGTTAAGAACATCTATCTACAGATAAAGGTGGAAAGACAAACCGAACCACCAGTGGAATTCCTGAAGGCTATCCAACATCTGCATTTGAAACTCAGTTCTCACAGAGGCTTCACCTTGATTTTCATCTGTTGCTTTTCTGTCATGTTTGGGACAAAATTCCTAACACTGACAACCTTCTTCATTTCAACAGGGTTGAACCAAGGCTGAATAAGACCATGTCTGCACTGAGCTAGAATGAGAGTACAACGCTGCATCATAAAACCAGAGTAAAGTTAGGAAAGCAAACTACCTTAGATGCCAATTAATTACATACAGAAAGCAGACTCTGGCATCTTAAAGGCAGAAAGAAAATCTGAAAAAATCTAGGGTGAAAGGTAAGCCCTGGAAAGAAAACAAAAAACAGTTGGTAGATGGAAATCAACAAGAATAGTACCAGTGACCTCTAAAACCAGAATGACAGAGTTGCAGTCTCCTGAGGTCAGAGCCATCAAGAACAGACCAGTGAAGCTTACTGCACTTTGCTAATTGCATTAATTGTAATTACTTCTCCAGTAGATTGGAAACCAATTGATCAACATAAACTGTATTTAATTCATTCTTTTTTTTTTTTTTTTTAATTCAATATGCCATTTTAAACCTTAGAGATTGCTGGACTTCAAAACACATAAGGGGATTTTATATTTAAAAACCAAACACGTCACAAATACACCTTCTTTGATATTTCCAATGTTGTTATTAAAGTCTTCCTTTTACAAAAAGCCCTTGTTTTCAGAAAACCAACAGAAACTTGGTGAGTGAAGGAGCTGAGAACAACAATGTGGCAAGTATAAAAGCAAGAAAGAGACCAAGGCCACTTCCAGTCCTGTGCAATGGAAACATTTTCAAGTGTTTTGTCAAAATCACTTTTTAAAATCACTCTATAGACTATTAATCAGGCACATAAGAACCAGCTGCACAGACATGAAAGTAAGAGCCAACGGCTGCAGCCTCGTGACGTGCAGAGGATCCTGCACTGAAGGCAGTGGCAGAGCCCAGCCCAGCCCAGCCAGACCCCAGTGCCTCCACACCCCTATGAACCATCCAGCCTGCTTCAATTTTGGGGCGTATGTACCTGTAGAAACACACATTACATATACTGACTGTTTCTTTTTTAAATTTTTTTGCAACAAATGATGCTCTTCCCTTACCTGTGGTAGAAAACAGAGGCCTGGCAAGATCCTGTGGATAATGGAAGCCTGGAAACACACCAGGGGCGGGAGGTCTGCTGAACAGGTCAAGTTTACCACCTATTTCTAGCTTGTGGGGATCCAGCTGCATTTGCTGTCAAATGATATAAAACCAATCTCATTATACACTTCTTTTTTTATGGGAGAAAAAAAGAGAGAGTTCAGGCTCACTCCTGCTTAGCCCTGCCAGGGAGAGTTAGCGAGAGTGACAGCAGCGTCTCCGGTCACGGACGGCAGTCATGCTCTGACAGCATCTGTAAGGCCATTTCGCTCCACAGCCTCTCAGCTGCCTGCCTCATCCACATGAATCAGGGCTGAAGTGAGCTCTCAGCCTTCAGCACACACAGCGGAGCATGCAATGTGATACACCGAGCACGCTGCACCCCAGGATCAGTCGGTGCTCTCAGCCTGACAAAAAATACTCTGCAGGCGGAAAGCTGCCGACAGAAGTCTTGAGAGCTGGGTGACAGACTCGTCTGTTTTGCTTCTCTGGTTTGAAAGGAGAGAGCTGTTCCTAGACTATGCCCTTCCTGAAGCTAGCCTAGCTCAGTATGCAGACAAGGGGTGAAGGGTAAAGAAATCTACGAGGCTTCTCCAAAGGCTATTTTTATCCTTCCCCTGTGGAAGTGAGCATGGTCAGAACTGCACCCAAATCATGTAACTCTCTCAATAGCTTAAAGATTATATACTTGCTTGAAAAAAAAAAAAATGGACATACACCACTTGTAGAAGCACTAATTACAGTGCACCTACTTAAGCTCTGAATAATCTTCATTAATGGGACAAAAAATCTACAGCAGGACCTATGAAAACATAAATGCTACAGAAGTTCCATTACCAGCTATTTTGCCTGCCATGGAGAACTTCGAGCCTGTAGCAGCACCCCAGCACACCTTTGTCTTAGTACCACTTGGGTTTCAAAGCCCCTTCCTCTGCCCATCATCCCGGCAGTGCAGAAAGCCCAGCAGCCTCGAACACAGTAACTATCAATCTACTCGCCTGCTCTCTTGTTTGTAATACGTTCTTCACTGTACTGGTCATTTCATTATGAGTGGGATAATACTCCGTATTCCATAGGAGGTACTAGCACAGAAGGGAAATGACATTAAACATGTATGCTTCATAAAAAAGATGGATTTGGGGCAAAATTACCTTCCCCCTCCCTTTCCTCTCTTTCTAGCTGTGCATGTACTATCTCCTGCTCATTTTGCTACCCTTCAACCCAACCCCTTTGCCCTAAGATAAACTTTACGGTTGCTACGATAAATGTTAAAGGATTGAAAGTGTTAGTTAATCAATACAGGCAAGCTTCAGAATCACCAACAGTAACTGCTTCCTGCTCATTACTGACTAAATATAATCTCTAAGCCAAAGGACTTGGCTTTGTTCCAGAAACTGTCTAAATTACCTTTATCTTTTGCTGGTGATGGTAGATCTGCCAGGCGATCTGTACATGAACCGCACACCACTTCCCGGGTTTCTGCAATGGAAAGCACAAGAATTTAGATTAATTTATACGTTAGCAATCTACATCAGACAGAACGTTTCATTTCCCTTACTGTCAAACAGGCAGCTAAGCAATGAGAAAGGCTGATTACTGAGACGGCACAATAGGTGATCAACATTTTTTTCTGCACTGCAGCAGATGATGTTTAAATTAAGAAGCAAACAAACAGGAAGAATGTGGGATGTGGGATATCTTCCTCATCTCATGGAGACCTGAGATCCCTGCCTTGTTCTTTCCTACTTGCACTCCCTCCTTCACAAACCAAAATAAATGGCAGCAAAGAACAGTATGCCATGTTTAAGAGAAAGCAACTAATAGTTAACAGTTCTGTTTCTGAAAAGAGCCCTGTTCATTCATCCCTGCTGCACTGTGGGCCAAGTCATGTGTGGTTATTATGGCTGCTTGCATTTAGGGAAGGAAAAGGGTATGGACAAACAATCGCCAGGGATGCGCAGTGCCACAGCTGAATGAATTACTGTTTTTCAGCTGAGCTGCGGTACTCACTGTAGGGTGTTTTTGTGGAACATAAGAAGCACAAATAAAACACACTGACCTAAGCCACCATGAATCTGATCTCTGGTGACTGTCTGTTCACGCTCATAGTAATTTATTTCTGTGACCCTTATTTCAAACTGTGAACTATTAATGCACAGAAACGGATGCAAAAGAGGGTTGTGATTCAACCTAAACATTACAAATCAGAAGCAGTCAAGAGCTAGTGAAAACATTTTGCTTTAAATAAAGGATGAGCATGACATTTTCTACTAGACACGTTAAAATTTCAAAAGCACATGCACAATATTTGAAGTGTATGCATATATATATATATGTATAAAAAATCCCCCACAAACCTTACTTACTCTTACTGGAGGCCTATAAGGGTCTGACACCTATGGAAAAAGCAGAAATAAAACAATCAGTTCTTCTAAAACCAGCCAATATCCAGAAAGGTGGGGAACTTCCTTCCTCTGATCAAATAAAAGCATTTAGAAAGCAACGTTCCAGAGAAGTCCCCTGTGACACGGGAAACCTAAAAGGCTTAAAGGAAGCTTAAAACTTCTCTTTCATTCCTTGCACCAAGCTCAGCAGAATTTTATGATAAACAAAGCAGCTTCGTGCCAGCATCCGAACAGTGCCAGTACTCTTCCAAACTTTGTAATTGTTCTGAAGTGAAGCGCATAAAACTACTCTCCAAGCAATCCTTAGGGGAAAGACCTTAAAGGGGTTTCCTGCCCCATTTCCCTCTGACTTTCTTTGAAGAAGTCAATACATCCCTTTGTATTCACGACCGGTGCAGGCTACTGTTGTCTCACTGCAAAAAGAAACTTGTGTCCTAACTGCACGTTCAGAGTCTAGAAGGCCAATTTACTGACCAGATGCTCTCTTTTTATATGAGCAATCAATGTGTTTACTGTAAATCCAGATAAGCTGAAAGGAAGGTTATGTATTGTTGCCTACCCCTGGAGTCTTCTGCAGCAGCGTATGGTGGACTGTGCCTGGTCTACCCGCTACATCAATAGGGTTTGAAGTCTGAAAGACAAGAATAGAGCGTGAATAATACTGTATCATACCAGCGGTACATTTAACATCTCTATCTGATGTTAACGGCATTAATTAGTCCATGTTTGTACTGCGCTTTGAACACGCGTATTGCTATATTAGTGCTAAATGTTATCTCTTACTGACAGCCAACAGCATTTAACCATCATGTCATCTATTATTATTTAGCAGCAGTAACAGTATTCCAGCAGCACCCCTAAGCCTCACTGGAATCACAACCCCATTGTGCTGTGCGGTATGCAAGTGGACGGGAAGAGACAGACCCTGCCCCCCAAGATTATTCTTTAGACAAAACAGGCAGGCAGTAGGAGAGAGAATGGACTGACTCCCTCCATGTTTCAGGCAGCAACCAGGATCACAGTCAGGAACAGGACAACTCGAGCATCTTAGTCCCATATTGCAGCTATTGGACCATGGCCCCTCTCCAGCTGGGGCCAGACAACACAATGGCTGAAATGGCAACAGCCCATCTATTTGCTTTGACAGTCAAAATGAGGAACCTTAGAAGGTGCTTGTGGGTCTTTTATAGCTTTGCATTGTTTATCCCATCATTTTCCAGCAAGAATTAAACACCTCATTGAATGAATCTGTGTTCCTCCTCCTCCGGATCCCACCTGTTGCCCTGTCCTAGATGATCCCCAAGAACTCGTTCGTCTTTTCACTCTGGCATTCATCCATCTCCCACTCCCAGAGCAACTGCACCTGGTGCCTCCACGCAGCTAAGTGCAGAGGGGTTCAACCTCATGCCCCAAGAGATGATTTCACTCAAATTCTAGGTCAAATTACAGTAGTTTTTGAACAGTCAAACTGTACAAGGAATGAGTAAAACCACGGGTGTGGGAGGAAAGATAGATTTTAATTTGTCTAAGGCTACGTAACTTCCAGACTCATTAAAAAGAGAATTCTCCTGTGTGTGTGTGTAGGTAAGCCAACGAACTCCCCAGGCAGCTCCGGGCTCTCAGGGCCTGTCTGACAGCTGAGGTATATATAAGGTGGCAAATAAGTTACAGCTATCATACAGGCAAGAGCTTTAAGATCACATGTTATCACATTAAGATCACATGGTGTCATCCTGTCCCCTTCTCCCCTGGAGAAAGATGTGAATGCTTCCTCCAGCAAAGTAAACCGAATACTTCTGACCTTTTCAAGTTCTTAGCTTGTGAGAAATGGCCTTCGGGAAACTCACTGAGAAGTTTACCGTCAGCCTGGATTTATGTGCAGTGGATTTACACGCACAGCTGTAGGCAACTGACACGGGAAGGGGAAAAACAAAACCAAGACCTCTGCTTTGGAAAGCAAGAAGTGCAGGATTTGGTATGCCAAAACCAAATCATCAGGTCTGTGGTGATTATGAAGGCTTTAGTCAAACAGCTTGGGAGGGAGAGAGCATGGAGAAATGACAGAGTGGCTTTGCCCAGCAGTTCAGCTCTGTCTCCTCTTGAAAACTGGAAAATAATGTGCCAAAGCAGCAGATCCATTTTTCAACCTATCCCTCTTTTTTTTTCAGATGTTAGATTGCATGGAAATACAGCACTGTCCAGACATCAAGTGACGCTAGTGATTAACTACTGAACCAGAGTGTGTGACCTTGTGCTGCTTAAACTCAAGCTAGCAAACCTCTATGGATCGATCATTAAAATGAATTAAAAGCTAGTTACGGTACACCACGGAGAACTGTTTAAAAATGTAGAGAGGCTGTGCTCACTTCTTCATTCTTGCTACGTAACTGCTTCTCTTTGGTCTAATGGTATCTTACAGTGAGATGGTATCTACACAGCTCTGGAATGACGATGGAAACCAGAAGAGCACGCTATGGGTGTTATCAGGGGCTCCTCACTAACAGCAGCCTTATGGTAACACTGAACCCTATCTTCACATTAGCGAAATTTTGCCAACTCCACCTTATTTGGGCAGCTGTATTGTGGGGTCTGTAGGGAACCCTGGCAACCCTTGCAAGAATAGCAACAATTAACACAAACTCCACCACAGGACATCTACGTTTTGTCCCTCTTGCTCCCTCTGCTTAGGTGCAACTGCTCCTCTTCAATGCCTGTAGCCACTCCATACAGAACTCTTGTTGAAAAAAGCCATTGTAGAGACTTTTCTATTTGCAATGTATCCAGAAAACAACGTAAGGGATTCGATGGACACGGAGGAAATATTCCAGCTTACATTAAAAAAATTAAGTGGGAAGGTTGTAAGAGGCCTTATTTGCAGCAGTTGCTAATTGCTGACTTCCTCTGATGTCAGCGAGACTAGGGAGCACATCCCATGGCCCTGCTTGTTACGGTCACAGAAATGACCTTCCAGACGCAAACAGACACGGTCTGGCTACAGCGATGGTCCTTCAAGTCTTCTAACACAGTAGAAGGGCTCTATGGAAATGCAGTTCAAGATAAGAAATCTCTAAAATCACAGTATGTAAGGAAGCTAAACACACGACACCTTACAAACGGAGTAAACGCTCCATTTTCAAACAAACGCTACATGGATATGATGCATCTTTCTTGTTTGGAGGGATTTAACAGTTTCTGTACATTTAAGAATAGTCAATAAAAAGAACAAGTCTGGGAGGAAAAAAAAAGCAGTGCACACCACAGAACTCACGGTGGTCATCATGGCAAGCAACATTTCCAAATGCCAATCAGTGCCAGTTGTAATGATACGTTATAGTTGCAGTGCACCTTTCATACACACTATCTCAAAGAAGCTTGCAGGCATTCATCAACCCTTATAAAACCCACTGCAAAATAACTTGATAGATGAGGAAGCTGAGGAACAGAAGATTTAAGCAACTTGCCCAAGGTCAGACAGTGTCGAAGCTGGGAATAAAAATTCAGCTCCTTCAAATCGCTCTGCCCATTTAGAGCAGTCTCTCCCTATTGTCCCCACACTCATACAGTCAATTTCTCTTTTTTTTTTTTTCTTTCTGGGAATAAACACAGTTTATCTTTTGCAATCTCAGATCGTCAAATTTGTAAAATGATTTGGGACTCATCAGTCTATTATTAGCTGTAAATATTTCAATCAAATAATGCATTTGACTGTATGCTTCTCCTCCAGTTTCAGATGACCTCCCAAGTGAACCACTACGTCCTTTTCCAAGGAACAATCTGTAGTGCCAAGAGAAAATTTCTGCTCAAGTGTTGGCTGCTTTGTGCAGAGGATGCTCACAGATCTGTGGGGTGATCGCTTCCAACCCTGTGCTGCACTTCTGCTAGTTAAACCATGTGCTACAAAATCACCAGAGACACGACTCTGAATACAGTTTCTCTCCCAGCAAAAGAACAAAGCCTTCAGAAGAAGTAGTCTGTACCTTCGGTTGAAATGCTCCCTGAAGTGACCCAAAGGGACCTGAATGTGGAAGCATGGGTGGCATTCCAGGCATTGCTGGAGGATAGGTTGGAAAGAACTACAAAAGAAAAAGAGATGCTTATGTCACAGGACAACTTGAACAATAATGGAGGTAGGTGCCAAGGCTGGCACATACAAAAATAGTACTGTGTGGAACGAGTGTCACAGTAAAAATACACACTAAATTTGCTTTCAAAATTTTTCAGAGCAAAGCCAAAACTTGGAAAATGCGTTCATCTGATGAATTTTCTAGATAGTGCTGAACAAGGGTGTCTTTAAATTTGTGGAACTATTGCAGGAAGCACAGAGCATTCACCATTTTGAGAGGAATCGGAAAAATTTGGGTTTTATGTTCACTTTTGGTTAATTTTGCATTTTTCTGCAGTAGCAAACAAATTGATCCTGTTTTGAAATGTGACCTGCTTTAACTTTCAAAGCAAAAAAGAACCACAAGATGCTGCATTGCACACTAACCACAGGCAACGTGCACACCACCTTGTAGTTGTGTAGTTTGGGTTAAGTTTTGCTTAGGCCTCTCCTGAGCACATAAAGCAGTTTTACAAGTCCCAAAACATGTAGTTTCTGGGCTTTGGAGCAGTGGGGAGCACCAGGAAGAAACCACCAGTCTGACTTACTCCTGTGACCTGAGCAAAATCTTGTGAAAGAGCCATGCACTCCGGGCTGCTGCACTGTGAGAAGCACCAGCTGCAAAGATACTGCAATGACCACTGACTGAGCAATTTCTGCGCATTCCCTGCCAACCCAGGCACAGCAATATAGAGCCGCAGCAGCAAAAATGCAGGAGACAAAGATTTAAAAAAAAAAAAAAAAAAGCCCAAAGAAAATTTTGTACCTTAAAAAAAAAAAAAATCAAGACGGAAAAAGAGCTTTAGGAATGAATGAATCAAAACACTACCAATCAATCGAAAACAAGCGAAAGAAGTGCAAGCAGAACCATTAACAAAGACAACACCTAGGAAAGGTAAGCACTCACGTTGGAATGTCGAAAGTAAGGGTTGTCTAATTTGGGAGCGTACTTGTCAAACTGGAAAGAAAAGAGAAAAAAAAGGAAACGGGTGAGTTTGGTTGCAGCAATAGTGGACGCATCAGGATTTCAACACAGACAAACAATCATGGCTAGTTCATGCAGCATTCAACAGAGCAGAACTGACTGGTTATTCCATACTCGCTCATCAGGGAGCTGACTGATCTCCCCAAGCTAACAGAGACAGAAAGGTGCTAGCTCCAGGTTGCACCCGGGCGCTGCCAAGTCTCACTGCAGGACTCTCTTTGCAGGCACTACGTGAAGAGGTTCCTTCACTATGAAGAGAGCAGTCCTGATATCTGCAGCACAGTGCAACGCAGGGAAGTTCAGCTCCAGGTCTGGATCTGGGATCTGCCTCTGGAGCACTGAACCAGATCACAGACGGTAAGGAATATTTTCCATCAGACCCCAACATCTACTGTGGGGCAAGCAACACCAATTCCCCATTTTCTGGGTTCCTCTAAGTGCCCAAAATTGTCTGGAAAAGGGCTTAACTGCTTTAGATGCACAAATCTCTCTATATTCCCCCTCCCCTGCAAAAGAGAGAGTGCCCCAGAGAAAAGCTGGTTGTTAACCTTTTCCGTACCAGCACGGGGTTTTAACACCTCCATGTGCGCAGTCTGTGCCCCATATTTATTTTTATGACCATTTGTCCTGTACCACCTTGGAAGCCAAACCAAAGAATCGTTGCATTTTTGAACAGTATGTACATTCTGCTGGGGAGGAGGGAGCGGGGATGACGGCAGGGAAGGGAGCTGTAGGACCCCATGAAAAGCTGCTTATTTGGCAAGTCAGCTGCTGTTTCACACTCCTCTATGTGCAGGAGAGTAGATTTGCAATTTCATTAATTACAGTTATTACTGGAGCCATGTCCCCTCCAGTGTAAATACCATAAATTACCAAACATACGCAGCTGTAAATTTCAACACTCTTCTCTGGTGTTGGGATTAGCAAACCTGATCTAGTGGAATATAAGAAGACGTGAGTGAAATATAACAAAAGAGCCCTGTAAGCTGTTTTTGCTTATGAGGGCTGCTATCAACAGGCAGGGGTGGGAAGGGAGGGAGCTGCTCGCAGGATCGGATATCAGGATTCTTAAATAACACAGGAGGTTTCTGAGCAAAGCTTCAAGATTGTTTTACACGGACTAAGAAAAGAAGGGAAGGTGTTTACACACGAGTACATTGAGCAAACACCTTGGGCTGGATTTTGAGTGGATGATATTACTTTTAATTGTCTCGCTGCTAGGCAGATTACAACCTGAGAATGTCATCGGGCAGTCAGCAGTGGGAAAGAAAAGTGAGAAACATTATGCTCCTTCAGTTCTTGGTAGTTCTTCCCAAATGCTGCTTTTGCTGTTCCTCTTGGCTTTTGCTAGCCCTAGCAGAAGAGGAATGTTTTACATTTTGGACACAGTGTGAAACTGAGAGGGGGGAAAAAGCTGAATCTTGTTCTTTTGATCTCACAAAGTAATTGCCGGAAATAGGGAGAGAGTAAGTTTTAAAGTACTGACAAAATCAATTTGTAGCAGAACTCTAAAAATTTTCTAACAGCTGCAGCAAAAGCCCCATTGTATTAAAAGCAAATTCAATGGCAAAACGCTAATGCTTATTACATGGCCAGAAGGATTTATCTCACAAGAACCAGCCACACATAAATTAGCGCTTGTTGATGTAATCAAATAATAAATGCCAAAATTGATATGGGCTAGGGGATTAGGAGGATGAGGGACAAAACTCGGATCAGATGAGATGCTGCACTATGGTGAGAGCTCCAGGTGAGCAAGTGCGGTCTGGCCCAGGGAACAGCTGTGGGGCTGTGTTTGATACTGGAGGCCACCAATCTCCTGGTGTCCTCGCTGGTGTTTTGGTGTGTGACTGGCTCTGGGGAAGGGGGAACTGAAATACACAGCAGGACACGTGAAAAGGGAAACTAAAGGGACTCCGGATTTGACTGACGGGTGCGGTATCTGCTCAGGGGTAGCAGCGTGGAGAGACCTGGAGGCTTGGTGTGGAGGCTCTGGGTGGACAGGAGGTCCCTTGGGAGGGCTGGGCCTGTCTCCAGGCCCCCAGGTCAGAGGGACAGGGACAGCACCCCTGGCTGAAATGAAGAGGAGTGGGTTTTGTTTGACAAGAGCGGGTTAGGCTTTTTGACCAGAGATGCTCTACTTATCCTCACATTTTGGGCTGGGGTACGCACCATGGGAGGTGCAGAGGGCGGCATGAGCGGCGTCTGGGGCAAGCTGGATGGAAAAGGAGTGAATGTGTGCTGGTGGGTGTGTTGGTGCTGATGCGTGTGTTGGTGCTGGTGAAACTCCGCTCTCAGCAGCGGCACCGGGCCAAGTGAGGCAGCGGCCCGGTCCGAACTCTGAACCAAAAACCGGTTGTTCAGCTCTTGCCTGAGCAGTTCGTGATCTAGAGGAGAGAGAGAGAGAAAAAAAAAAGACACAGAGGCCCGTGGGCCTGTGAGTACCACAAAGACGGAGGAGAAAGAGTCAATATTCACCTGGCATTCCCTGTTTCTGCAGGTCATGCTGTGGTGGTTTTCTACGTGAGGACTCATTGGTGGAGGTAAGAGAGATGCCTGTGACAAAGTACCAATCAGAATCCCCGAATGAGGCTGGCAATACATGATTGGTTGGTTGAATGATATCAACAGGCTGGTATCTAAAGACAAGAGAGAACACCATGAGTCATCACAGCAGAAAACATCATCGGGGGCGGCAGCAAGCATCCGCCCCCGGCCCCCCGCCCGCGGCCCCGCTACCCCCACGCAGCTCCGACAACGGGCTACTCCTCCTCCTCCCCGGCACCCGGTGGCCATGGCACCGAGGTGTCTCTGGGAGCGGACCTTGGAGGTCTGGTCTCACGGCATGGTGGCCGGACCTTCCCGCACCAGCACGATGCTGGGGAGCACCCTCGAGGACAATGGCTCGCTTTAAAACGAGTAATACTGACCTGTTTTCTTGGGAGGTTTGCAATTCAGAAGCATACCTGTACACTGAGAATGGATGGTGGGCCTAACACGTGTTACACTCTAACTTGTGAGGTCAAACACTTACTTGAGTGGTCTAATTTTGACAAGATCTGCAATGCAGTGAGATAACCATGGATTTGGGTGGCTGGAAACTACCTGCTCGGACGGCCATTTCTCAACAGATCCCCGTGCCATCCTCCCCTTTTCTCAGCCTCAAGACATGCACACAGTGACCAGGAACATCCATTCTACAAATTGAGGCCTTCTTTGCAATACGGTTTTTTTTTGAAATCTTAAATACTGAGTTCTTTCCTCAATTTCTAACAGGCCATAATCGACATTTTTTGTCTTTGCCTCCAGGCTTTTCTCCTATGAGAAAACAAAAGGAATTGGTGGGAAGAGGAGAAACTCTGAACTGGCTCAAGATCTCATGAAGGTTGCAATGACTAAAAATGTTCTACAATATGACATGTGGCCTCTTCTCGGCATCTTCCTCTGGAAGAACCAACTGGCACTGAATTCTAATATGGTTTAGGGCAGTGGAAGATACCAGCACTTTAGAAATGGCGTGACTGGGGACAAAAAAATCCCATAAACGTCTGCTGGTATCAGTTAAATCCACCTGTGATTTTGCCTAAGAACTTCAAATAGGAACCAGGACCCAACATGTTAGATGTTTTCTGAGTTGAGAGCAACCCGTGCCATCAGCTGTGGATGACACAGACCCATTCCTGACTGACCTACTTGCTACTGAACTTACATGAACTTTTTTAGTGTAACACCCCTTTTAAACTACAGCACTGAATACAAAGGGGCAGAGGAATACATGTGCTTTAAAGTTTTATTTCATGTTCTGCAGGCATTTCTTTTACTTAAATTTTTTAGGGTAACATTAGAAATGTCTAAATCAATCACTTTCTGAAGTGACATGGTTAAGACCTTTAAAAACAGGCACTCTGATGGGGAATTTCAAGGTCTCTACTACCATTTAGAAGACTACATCCTATTGAAAGTCACTTTTGAAAGCACGTTTTGGGTGCCTGAGCCATTTGCTTTTCAGTACTAAATGTACTGCTAAGAGCAGGTACTGTGTACTGCTAGAATCTTTATAGTAATTAATACAAAAGTAGAAAGTGCACATACTTGTGATACTGAAGCTTAAGGCACTGGAGCAGAAAAGTCTATTCAGGGTTCCCCTTGGAGCAAGCAAACAAGAAAAAAAAACAACAAACCTAGGCTGAAAGCACTTAGGTCCAAAACCTAACCTCTTTAGAGAATATGGGCATGATTTCATATGTGTGTGTTTATGCATTTAAATCTGGCATGACTTAAAGAAACTGAACCCTTCTGTTAGCATCAAGATAATCCACTTTTCTGGAGGGAGAGATAAAAGCAAGTTGGCAGTTGTAAGTGCTCTGATATCCAATTTCTTTAAGAGACTTGAAGTCAGACTGATAGATTTGCAGCTGGCTCCAGCCCATAGCCCTGTACCACAACTTTGGCCTTTGACAGGAAAAGAAAAGGCCCGGAGATGTTTGGAGAAGTGGTGTGGCCCTTGGAGGAGTCGCTGCTTCATAGCAAGCATGGGACTGCTGAGAAATAACCCAGCTTTGTGACAACAGCTCTGGGCAATGTTAGGATCAGCACTGAGTCCTTGTGCCTACCAGTGACGCCTCGTCCCACGGGTCTGGCCACGTAACGCCACAACGAGGAGCAGAATCACTGAGCAGCCCTCTGAATGCCCGAACACTGCTGCTCTGCGTGCGCACGCGAGGTGGGCATGGCAGAAAAATGTCAATCCTGCTGATGTTGCTGTGTGCCCTCATGTTCAGAAGACACAAAGAACGCTGCTTCCTCTGTGTATCCTACAGCAGGGCCAGCCTTGGTGCCCTTGAGTAGAGGGCAGCAGCCCACATGAGGGTTCCTCCCAAGTATAAGCTTTAGGTTTCAAAGGGAGAAATGCCACGAGAGGTACACACTCGTTTTTCAGAGACCTGAACGTGTACCATCAGTGAATGCAGGAGCTCTGAGCTCTGCTTCTCTTTTTGCTAATAGCCACAGGTGTGCCAAAGTAAATCTAAAGGAAGTGCACGTTTTCTTCCAAAGAGGGGGGAGAAAAAGACGACAAAAAGGAGACTTCAAACGGCCATACCCTCTCTGATGGCTTTTCTAAGCTGGTGCTTTTCCTGAGAGCACACATGCGCTTGAACGGCACAGCAAGGACTATGCTGCTAGCGGCAGCTGGATTCTATCTCTTCAGGGCTGCTCAGCAATATTGCTTGCTTTTAAGAAACTTTTATGTGAATGACAACAGAAGCTCCTGGCTATGCACCACTCTGTATTGATTTTATGATGTGCCAGTTTGCAGGCTTCTCATGTAATGCAGACAAGAGGCATTTCACTGTCTGCAGGGTTAGACGCCCAGACCTTTCCCTCCACTGACTTAGGCTTCTCCTGCTTAAATTGCAGGAGAAATCCTTTTAGTAGGAGCAAGGCTGTTACTGTTTCCTGGCAAGCTGCTGAATGTGAATAGGTCACTTGATCTTGCACCTCCTGAAGTTAATGGTGAAAACATACTTGCTTTCAGTGACTGCAATATCATGCTTTTAGTGAACACATTGCTATTTCCTTTTGCAATACTTTCAAAGACTCCATCACAGTAGTCCTTTGCCTTTAACAGGGGAAGCAATGAATAGGTCTCCCACAGTGCTGCCAACATCTTCCCAGCCATGTGGTTGAAATTCTAGATGGTGCCAGGGCCTCTGAGAGCTGGCAGCTTTGGCCTATGTGGTCCTGCTTCTGGCTAGGAACCCACAGCACTTTTGTCTATCATCGTTCTGAGAACTCACTTTGGACCAATTCACAGTTTTCTTTCATTTAAAGAAGCAGTTATAAATAGTGAGACATTATTTTGCTCCTGGAAGAAAAAAAGGGGACACAAGGCCATCAGACTTTTCCGCAGCAGATCTGCCCTCTCCTTACTCCTTTAACTGGCTTCACAGGCAACAGAGGGTGCATTTTTTGCAGAATGCTTGTCCTGTTTAATCCCTGCTGAGTTAGTTGTGGAGTCAAATGCCAGATCAAAAGGAGGCCCCAGCAAGTGAAAGTCACAGGGAAGTTTCCAGCTGCCAGGGTCTCTTCCAGGGACAGCTGTAGGCTAATGGATAAGCTATAAACAGGGCATTTAGGGCAGAAGTGATAAAAGAATGGGGGCCAGGGTGAACAAAGGGAACTTTTTAAAAGGATGCAAAGACAGTGAGAGCTGAACAGCAGAGCTTGTCTGCTGAGCTGTCTGCCTCAGACAGAAAGGCTGAGCAGCCGTGGACACACAGAGCTTGTGGTGTCACAGGCAAGGATCCTGCTTCGCCAACAGGATGTGCTGCTTGTCGATGTATCAGAGCAGGGATAGGTGTTCAGTTAGAACAACCTTCTGGGACAATCAGAAACATCATTTGCAAGTTACTTCTAACAGCAGCAGCTTTCATTGGAGTGGGGAGAAAGACAGGGAGAATGGCAAATTGTACATCAGTCCTTTGTTAATCTGAAAAACGTCTGATGACTGTGGAATGCCCCGCAGGAGAACTCATGCCCTGAAAAGGAGATTTTTTTTTTTTGCAAAAATTTGTTTTGAAGACTTCCTATAGGAAGCTACAGTGCTGTCTCTACAATCTCTCATCTGGTGAAGCATGTCCATGTCTCCTACCTGTTTCACGAGTGCTCTCACAGTTCCAACACACACTGCCTGTGGAGGGGTCTGAGTCACTTTATTTTGCCTGCCCACCAGCCAGCCCATCTCTAAACACCCTCCGGTGCATGCACGGCAGATCAGCCCTGGAAGAAGAAGGGAACCTACCCGCAGGGTGACCTGGTATCACGAGGCTGTTGGTGGGTAACGCTGGTGGAGGCGGCAGTGTAGGTGGGGTGGCGAACATGGCCGGATGGTGCTGGTGTTGGGTCTGCGATCTGAGAGAGAAGTGCGAGGTAGCAAGATTAGAGATGGAGAGGGGCAGAGCCGGGCCGGAGGAATGGTGCGGAGGAATCTGGGGAGAGAGGGGAAGGTGTTTCGGGAGGCTGACGCTTGTTGCACTGCTAGCACTGCTGCTCCGGCTGCAGAGAGAAAAAGATGGGGGGGAGAGCGGGGAGAGAGACAGAGAGAGAAAGAGAGAGCACGTGTTACAATACATGATTGAAACAGTGCAGGAAATACACTACCATAAGCAACACACCTATGTAACGCTGCTCTCCCCAAGCTTATTTTTTGGGTTTTTCAATGGCAGTGGAGAGAGTAAAAAAATCTTAATGAACTTCTCCAACAGGGCAGGACGGGGCTTGGGCTCTCTGGAGTGACATTTCCTCTGGTGCTGGAGCAAGTTACAATCCCCATAGCTGTCTGTGAGATGCTGATGAAGGCTGCAGAGGTAGCTGTATTCTGCACTTTTATTTAGCCTCTGATGACCTTGCAGTGGCCATGTGCGTCCTTGTGATCATATTGCAATTACTCTAATTCCTTTTTCTGTTATTCTGGGTGCACAGAGTTGCACAGTGTGAGTGACTCTGGGACCAAGCTGTATCTGCTGCGCGTGCTGTGTAGTTATATTCACACAAGCATGCAAACATACGACGTGTTAACAATTATTCTCATAAGAATTCTGTATTCTAAATCTTTTTCTATTATGATTACTCCACTGCAAGTGATCTAAGTTTTGTGGGGTGAAAGGCAGTACTGGAGAAGTTATTATTTAGCATAATTCCCACAATACCATATTTGCTGCAATCTAAACCTCAGATATCTTAAATAGTGTGAAATATTAATCATTCATACTATTGTGGCATTTACAGGGTAAAACTACAAGAGAGCTTAAGTGTGCAGGATACTATGAAACACACATTAATGGCAGCTCTCTGTATTTTGACCCCTGTGCAGCCAAATATTATGTTTTACATCACTCTTCTCATCTTGTTTAACTAGCTTAGTTCTGGTTTGGGAGGCAAGGTATGTTTTCTGTACCAGCAAGAAGACTATACAGGTTCCAGCTGACTAGCTAAATTCTTCTCTCTAGAAACTCTTTCTCCATACCATTTTCATCCTTCCTACTTATTGGATGGAGGCAATTTAAACAGTGAAGCTAAGCTTCTGGCTACATCTGACCATGTCAGATTGAAGCAGATTTCTCAGTGTACACTGAGTCCTGTTCTAAAGGACACAGCATTTTCCGATATAGATATCCCTCTTTTGATGCTGGTGAACCAACAAAACTGTGATAACCATGAGTAAACCTTCTACTTCAATAGAAGTATTTCTGAGTATGAAACAAGTGCTCAACCTCCAACCACTTTAAATTTTAAAGGCAAGAACTTGCCAGCTCAGACAAGAAAGTGCAAAACTCTACTAGCAACCAGATCTAAAAGAACTTTACCCCACAGTTACACATGCCTTTCTCCCAGAAAGGGAGCATTTATTGCCATGTTTCAAATACAGCTATCCACCACTGAAATTCTAGCCTGCGGAGTCAACACAGAAAGTCCAATAACCAAAACATGGAGTATCTTATCCAGACAGTAAGAACACTCTTGTCTTGTCTCCCAGCAATTTCTATCCTTTTTGAAACAAGTTTTGTCCCGACAGTAGCATAAAGATGACACAAGTGTCCCTTTCCCATACCTGATATTATTGAGTCCGTTGTGGGCCACCTGGTGATGCACTTGGTAATTGAGAGGAGGAGGGATGTGACTTGGAGGCTGGGTCCGAAGCTCAGGTATTAACTGAGGCTGCGACTGCGGCCGAGGTTGAGGTTGTGACTGTGGCCGAGGCTGTGGCTGAGGCGTGAGCCTTGGTGGTGCTGGTGCTGAAATCACTGGCTCCTTCTTCAACAGTGGGCTCGCTCTGGCGCTCGACGTGGGCGCTGAGGAAGTAGAAGTCACAACGGCAGCTACTGGCTGGGGGCTGGGGATAGGCAGGGCGAAGGGCACGTCGGTGCTCAGTTCCCGGCTCCGCTCTAGCCCAGACACCTTTGGGACATTGGCTGCTTTCGCTTCTGGCTTGTCATTCAAGGTGGGACCTTATGGAGCAACAAGAAAAAGAACAAAGCACAAGCTGAAAGGTCTGTGTTTGATTCTCTGCTTGGTAGGACACATGCCTGGGAAAAAACACGTCATGTTTCCGCTCGTGGGAGCAAGGCTGCTACAAGATGGATGTGTGTTCGCGCATCTGTCCTTCCACTGTCCTTGACTGGCCAGTCGACGGTACTTGTTAGCAAGTGTGTAAGAGACTTAGCTGTCATTAAACGAATGCAGACTACAAAGAACACACAGCTTTGTGACTTCTACAGAGTCCCAAGGTTACGTACAGTAGGAGTGTGAACGTGTGTCAAGTTACTGCTGCAGTATTTCCTACTCAATGCAAGTTCTAAGGCTGATAATGAACTCATACAAGCCTGATCATTAGGACATTTCATTTTCTCAACTCTCTTTCAGGTAATCTACATTGTGTTCAGGCTCAACTCCAGTACAACACACCATGACTCCAGCACTAACCTTTAACGATAACCCCACCTGGCTTCTAGGGAAGAGGCTACCTGGGATCCTCATGCAGCAAAGGATGGGACAGTTCTGCAGTGAAGTTGTGACATTGCCGTTCCCTGGCCACACTCTTGTGTGGAAGAACAGAACAGAGAAGGCTGGAAAAATCCAGTCAGAAGCATAGTGAGTACGCAAATGTAGTCCTGCTCACCCTAGGTATTGCACACAGATGTATGAGTGGCACGTCGAAACTATCAGGAAGGCTGTGACCTTGCAAAATGCACCTATCATGAGAATTCCATATGGAATTGCTCCTTCTATGATGCCAAGTATTTCTTTTTTTTCCAAATTAAACTAAGCAAAGCAGCCCAAAGAGTTAAAAGGCTGGAAAGGAAAAAGGGAAAAGGGAGGGAAGGAGAGAGATTTCAGATTAAGCAGCACACAAAAGGTCAAAGACAACCAAAAGCACCAACATCAACGTGATTCAACTCCCACTGTAACTCCCTGTTCAACATAATCTGTGTATCTTCAAATGCACATATACCCACAATCACAAGAAAAGCTGTTCATGGATTACCAGAACTAGTGTTGTCCATGGTTTTTACATGCACACACCCCACTGTGCACACACAGCACATCTAACTGACTTTTAGGATACACGCTTTTATTATCCACCACAACGCGTTGGGGGCTGTTTGCGTCTAGCTGGCTTGCAGACACATGAGATGCTACCTACACTCATTAACGTGCTTCCAACACCCTCACGAACAGATTCCACCTTTGAAATTTTCCCGTCTCATCAAAGGACTGAGCCAGTTCCTGATGTAGGAGGTGTGGAAATAACACACAACACATCCCGCGAGCTAATTCTGGCCACGCAGACACTCCAACCAGGCTTTTGCGAACGCAGCTGATGCGAGGCGAGAGTCTCGCTGCCGCAGTTTTGACAACTTACGCACCACCACGCCGGTGTTAGATGAGAGGACAGCGATGAATCAGAGCCTGTAGCACACCAGCTCGCTTTCTGTACAGAAAATGCCCACACGGTGATGGCATCTCCTTCCCTGAGACAAAAGGCAGCTCCCCACACTGCTCTGGCTCTGCACTCTCACCCTTGCACCATTCCCTCATCAATCACTCCATCACTGCATATGTATACATTCTGAATGTGAACAGAAGACAGATGGAAACACATGAACTATATTTATCGGCTGAAGATGTCTGAGGACTTGTGGCCTCAAACCCACAAACAACAGGAACAGAAGCCTTTCCAAACACCAGTGCTTTGGTTGGCAGCAACTACGATCAACGCTGTACTTTCCAGTACTTTATACATCTTTATAGATCTGACACAATGTCCAGAGCTCCCAAATTGTTCCCTACAACAAATACAAGGCTAACTCATTTCAGTGAATTTCTTTTTCAAATACGAGTCTGTGCATCAAAGGTACCCTGGTTTTGAGATGTCATTAGGATTGGTTCCAATGTTATTTAGAGTGACAATTTATTTCTAAAATCAAATTCTCATTGCTCTCGCGCACCATTACTTTTATAATGCCACCTATGTTTGTAAATTTTCCTCAGATTTTACTACTAACAACTGAAAAATTATCGTTGACTAGTCAAGCCAGGGATCCCCACACCGTGCATTATGGAGGAAGTGCATTCACAGCTGTAGATCACACTGTTTTTCAGGAGTTACCCATTAAAAGCAATTGGGTTTCATTCCTGACCACAGGTTTCCTGAGAGCCTATTAGCTCTTTCCATCCAGCAGGCCTCCTCCTACAGAGTTAAACTTCATATTGTGTAATTATAGGCAATGTAGACTAATGGTGTATATTCAAAACACACTGGCACCACAAAAGTTAGTTGAGTAAAAAGTCAATTAGATCCAAAACAAATCAATAAAGTCCCGCATTAAAAGCAGCTGTTTGACCAGTTTTATTGATTCCCTGTGGTTTCAGCATTAGTTCTCATTTGCAGTCTTCTCAAAGCAAAAGCTCATGCTCCCTTGCTGACTGAACTGACCAGCCAGCCTGGTTGTATTAGTTAGTACTAGGGGTACATGACTAGTTTCTGCTGCCAACTTGCATCTCTCAGGTTGCAGTACTGAAATGTTTTTGTGTTTCATTCTCAATGACACTGAAAATACCCAGATGCTTTTTTCCCCCCCCCTTTAGAAAAGCTACAGGCATGAGTGTGACTTGAGGGTGAACGGCAATGGCTGAAGGGAAGGGGACCACACATGAACAAACCATGGGGAGAAATGACAGGAAGACAGCAAGGCCAGGCACTGGGACCCACCCGATGTTTGACAGTCAGACCTTCTGAAAGGGAAACTTTCCTCACATCTATCTGTTTCACTTAAGTCTCTGGTAAAACAGATTCGGACAAAATGGAAAGCAGATGCCCAAATGGAAATGCACCTCATCCATACACCTCAGTACTCTAGAAAACACAAAAGGCCCTGCTAAACAAAGACTTAAGACCCTTCACTTCAGCTGACTCCATGGAGTGCCATCCCATGACTTGCTCACACTCTGACATTGAAAACCATACACATCCTGGTTTCTTTCTTTCACACTCTTCTACCAGCACTTACTTCTACCTGTTCAGTGCCTGTTTCCAATACCCAGTCACTAGCTAACCATACTCCAGAGGTCTCCAGAAACCTGTCAATTTTGAGGCCATTTTCCCTGTGCAGCCAATGAAACAATTAATTTTGAAAGCTATAATTACTGGTTTCTTAGGTACTTAATAAGATCCTTATCACGGTACCTATCACAAAAATCTCCAACTCAAGACTTTCCATTCATATTAAAGTCTCTGAGCTACCTTCCCTGAAATCCCTCAGAAAGTTAATTTTAATTATTTTAATGAGCGCTGTTGCCCATTCTGATCAGGATTTCAAACTTTGCAGTTTCTCCGTAGGATGCTCGAATGTTCGTCCTTAAGGGAACTACACCCTTATATGCCCAAATTCCTTCCAACTGACTAGGCTGAATGCAGGTCCCATATGGAAATATCCCATGGAGAGAATTTGGATATTCCCTTTTGTGCAAGGTGGATCAGGCTTCATCGAGATCCCTTCAGAAATTTCTGTACTTCAGCTCCTCACCCAGCCCTTCTGAGCAGATGGACCCATGGAGCTGAGCACAACTGCCCCAACAAAAGCACAATCCCACCCCACCACACCACAAAGAGGCAAAAATGTGTTTATTTTCACCAAGTCCTAGAGTAATTTTCATGCTTAATGATAACAGGCTGAGCCAATTTGCCTAAGACTTGACAGTCAGCTCCAATAATTCAACCTTAATTAAACCTGAACGCATGTCAGTTCAGCTTGTCCCTTCACAGGAAATCTGACATTTGCAATGATTCACGTTTCAGCCATGCTATGGGAAGGCTGGATCACATCTGCCATTCTCCACCATGCAGAGCACTACCCCTTTTCAGCATGCCAACTTTGTTTATTTTCTAACCAAACACTTTGGACTTCTTCCATTGAGAGGTTTTCTTAAATGAACAGACAGTGAAACATGTCTTGATCTCGAGGGGATGAACGATGACTGAGTGTGAAAGACAGGGAAGAAAGGGAGCTCTAACAAGAAAAATAACAACGACCTGAGATTAGTAATTCTTGCCTCCTTGATCAACTAATTTGTAATTTGGAGTGTTGAGAAATTTCAGCCTCCCCGTGTCTTGGGCTACATTCCATTCCAATTTAGCCTGGTAAAGATGAAAACTTTTAACAACTTTTAAAAGCACAGAGAGCTTTAGCCACTGCCACTGTCAACCTGTAGAAACGAGAGTTGAAGTTTAAAGGAAACCCCAAAACCAACTACAACTGAATTTGCTGCAAAAAGTGTGTTTCAGAAGGAGTTACCTAAACCTGAAAAACCATCAGCATGGATCCAATATGAACCTTCAAATTTTGAAGTGAGTTCAAAATCTGTGATTGGAATAAACATGCACTGCCCATCCCCAGGGCTGCACAGGGCGACATGCCTGCCCGTGTGTAACCGCACAGCCTTGCAGGCTAAATACAATACAGAAAATCCCAGACACAAATTAAACCTTTCTGTTACAGGAATTTGCTTTCAAGCTGATTAAGAGTAGCTCAAGTGCAAGGGATTAAACATGTAAAGGCTGCTTTGAGAACTCCAATAAGCAGTTACTGTGTTATACAAACAGTACTTAGGGCAACAGCAGCTCCAGCCCTGCCTCTTGCTCTTTGCAAGCTGCTGGTTGCTGCTGAAAGGGGACTGTCAACACACGTACAATGTGATTGGAAATAATCTAATCTTGCTTGCACGCCTTTCCTTTGTGTCTTGAAAAAAATAAAAGTGGAGTCATTCAGATGTCTTTCTGCAGTCTCCCTCGTTATATTCAAACAGCAAGGGTGATGGGGTGATGTGAGAAAGAAATTCCTCTCCTACATCCATCAATGACATCTTTACCAATGGCAATTTCCCAAGAAACACAACAACCACCATCTGCAGCCTATCTATCCACATCCTTGAAAACAGACATAAGCCAGGCTGGCTATGATGAACCCTGCTCCATATTATAATTCCAGCAAGAAACGCTGCAAAAGCATCACCACAGGAATTACAGGGACATATGTGGCAAAAAGCTGAGTATTTCAGAGTTGGTTGATGAGTTCCAGAGACAAGATTTGAACCAGCAGCATGGGGAATGAGTACAGAAAAGCGTGATTTTACAGCAGTAGGTCAAAACAAAGAAATAACTAAAGGAGAGTATTCAATGAACCTCAGCAAACCTTTTTTTAATTTTTTTAAATTGAGCTTTTAGAGTGCTGCATAATGTATCGTGGATATGCAACATATATAAGCACAACAGAGAATAAAGCATTTTGCATTGCCAGTGATAGCACTGGCACTCTCAGAGTGCTTACAATGGAAAATTAATATTTAAGTGCTAATTCTTTACCCTCAGCTGGCTTTTGCTTTTATATGGATGGCTTTTTCATGGTGTTTTAGGAGAGCAGCACTATTTAAGACATTAGACGATTAGCTTCATCTGCAAGGCAGGGCAAGCAGAGCTACAACACAGAAGCTATCCAACACATGGGGCACCAAGTTCCTCCACCCACTGCAATGCAAATCAGCTTAAGATAAGGAATAAAGACTTGGGACTTGCGCACAAAAACCACTGTCTGGAAGGCTCCATGGTGTGTAACATGAACCATTTTTAACATCATGGTAAAGCAAAGGGCAAATTTCCATCATGACAGAGGTGTCCTACGCACGCTAGGTCATCTCAAAAAATGTTCTTCTGTGACAGGGGCTCCTCTGAACATCATAGGGCTCTGGTGGATTTTCTACAAATAACTGTAGTGTCTTCTCACAGAGGAAAGTGCTGAGCGTAAGTTATGAACCTTTGCTCCTTGCTTTGAACTCACGCTGCCGAGCGCAGCCGCCTGCGAGCAGGGGGAGCTGGTCTTTGTTCACGGTGCAGCCCCCCCAGCCTGACCCCCATGATGTCTTTCAGCGGGAAACTCCTTCCACCGCCCGGTCTGGATCCGGCCCCTGTCGCTCAGTTCATTTGTACAGAGCTGTCTGTCAAGTCAAATCGTCTCGCCGCAATCGGAGACACCCTCCGAACGGCTGCCACTATCAATTACTCTCCCAGACAGCCCTGACTATCGGGAAGAGAACTGGAGCGAGCACTTGCCAGTTTTAATAAACTGTGTTGCCCAAGTCATTTAACCTGCTAGATTGCTCTATGCCGGGGCTGTAACAAGCCTTCAGCTTTTCAACCTAGAAGAAAGCAACAGTGGCAAAAAGCTGTCAGTTTGGTCCTCAGAATTAACTTCCAAGGTGTCTCACCCACCCCCCCTTTCTAAAGCGCCCAAGTTTAAAAGTAAAATATCTTCAAGTCATTTTCGTAATGTCATGACAAGGAAAGCACCTCACAATTTTAACACAAAGCCAACAACTCCCGAGAATGAAGGGTTGACATGCTCCACGAGCGCACCTGCGCAGAGCGAGCTTCTCTCTCCTCTTACACCCGCGTGGACACATCCCGGGGCTCTCCCCAGGTATCGGTCACCATGGCCCAGGGAGGGCTTCAGGATGCCCTGACCACCTCCAGGGCTCTGCACCCACCGCTCCAGCCCCATCCTTACACTCTCAGTACAGTTACAGGTTCTCCCCCAACTGAAAACCCAACCATGGCAAATTTACATTTACTCCGGTACTTTCGGGATCGGTAGGAGAGATTTCCTAACAAAACATATATTTAAAATTAAAACACTTTGATGCAGATCAGTGTTTTCAGTTTGTGACCCATGTACATATCAAGATGTCTGAACGTTAATCAGAAAGAAAAGGTCTATTGTCATTAGGATTAATTTGCCATATAGGAATCTGCACTTCCACTACAAAGCTTATTGGACTCTGCAAATCAGAAAGAAGATTCAAAACCACTATGCTAAATGTTTTCCTTCACCAGCTACATAGGTCGGAGCCTTTGTTGCAAGAGCTCACAGCACAGAAAGATTTCACCCCCTCCGCCAGAAACTGAGCGCAAAAGCAGTAAGACCTATGGACTTGATGCTGATTTGCCTCTCTACGGTTCTTTAACGGGATGCTTTATTCCCCGAGATTTGGGGGCTTTCCATGCTCTATCCAGGCACGTTAGCTGTAAGCACGCATGACGACACTGCAAAGCTGCAGGAGCTGAATGAAAATGGGTGCCAAACACAAGGATTGGGGCCAGAGCATAAAGAAGAAGTATCACCATTCAAATCCCCCCAAAGTAAGTCACACTGCATTTTCCTAGCAATGCTGCTTCTGGCAACATTTCAATGCAAAGCTGAAACTGGATTTGCAGCTAAAGCACCTACTGTGGATGCTGGCGGTGTAATGAGATTGGAAGTTTCATCCAGGCTTTTAATCTAGGGCTCTTAATGGGGGATCAAATGCTGCAGGGTTAAATCTCTTCAGTGCTGCTCCTAAGCAGATGCTTACACGCCTGAAAACCAGTGACACAGGAGCCACTCTACTGCCCTGGCCACAAAATGTTACTAAAGCTTCTTGTAGTTACTTACTGAAGGTGTTTTGTCTTGTTCTGGTTTTGTTATGTGCAATGGCTATTGTACACCTAATCCGAGTGACAGACAAGCAGTAAGGTAAATGCTCTATTAGAAAGACACCCCCAGCAAGAAAGCAAGCAAGCACAAATGCTCAACTCCAGATGCAAGCTTTTAAACAGACAAAACTGCTATATAAAAAGGAATCTTATGATTTTAATTAGTTAAACAAGGGCAAATAATAAACCATCAGCTACTACATTACAGCAGAAAATGTACTACTTTTGCTGTTTGAAAGCCATATCGATTCCCACCTAGCCTGCGAGTGAGTTATTAATCACTCCAATTAAATCATGAACACAGGTCTTTACACTGAAATTGAACCCCCACCAATAGATCGATAACTCAAACCTCCAAGAGCAATTACTGCTCAGCATAATAGAGCAGCTTGTTACAGAGAGCTCCGTGCAGACCACAGTTCCCTCTGTCATGTCTTTCACAGGCAGTGCAAACAAACTGGGGAAAAAAAAAGATTTTATAACTATTATTTTCAAAATAAACAGACATCTGCTTAGAGTTACCTAATCTCTCTCACATCAGAGGCAGATCTGCCAAGGTCACATTGGAGACATGATTACATTTTTTCACAATTTGTTATTCTAGCAAAGCCCTGATAAGATTGAACTATTGAAGTTCACACTCTGGTTTAATTTCAAGAGGTTAAATGCCAAATCCTCTTCTTATTGCTACAAGGAAGGGATCTGCCAGGCTGCATAATACCCTGTGTGGGCTAAGACAACAATTTTGTTTCATCTGCACAGTCTTATGAAGGTTTTGATTTTTTTTTTTTTAAATGACATCAGAGAACTCCAAACTCCCAAAGAATCATTTAAAGTTAAATCAGAAAGTGAGACTGTTCCGGAGGAGTGCGAATGACCTTTCAGACCTTCCAGCCTGGAGAAGTTAAGTCAACGGCTGGCTGAGAAAGCACACTTGCTAACCAAAACCAGAAAAAGGCAAGAAAGAACATTCTCAAACACCAGATCATCTCTGCTGGGAATGGGAGATGATTACCCTAACCAGCCAAGCATACGCAGGGTCACAGAAATTCCCATCTTTGCCTTGGAAGAAAACTGATGCTTGTCCTGATGCAAGGAAAAGAAGAACGGTCCGTGCTCAGGCTCTGCGAGCCCTGCCCGTGCCGCTCAGCTCCAGCACCCTTTCCAGGTGAGAGCTGTATTTCTGCACGCATCCTTGCGTCTGCTGGGCTGGCCCTTTCAAGCAGGCCCCTCAGCGCCATCCATCATCCTTCATTAGGGAAGCTATTGGCAGCCAATTAAGTGGTGATGGACCCACACCATGACGCTAATCAAGATGAGTTCACATCTCCCTTAGATTTAGTAGCAGCGCTTACTACACTAAAACAACACATTTAGTTGTTACCAAATTGCCTCCATTTTGCTAGCAGTTACGCTGTAGCACCTCTTTCCATTACCACCTCTTTCTTTGTTGAGAATCTAGGGTCAAGATGAAGATAAACTGGAAGAATTTTCCGGCAAGCTCAGGTGCAATAAGGTCTCCCACCTCACTCCTATTTGCACAGTCAAAATCCAGCTCTAGAGCTGCTGGAAATGGCATCTTAAGAAAAAAATTGAGATATTAACAGACTGAATACATCCCACAACATTTCAAGTTGCATCATGGATAATTAAAATCTTCAAGGGACAAGCTGCAAGTTGTTAATCGGGGAACATTTACTTGAATGGTGTGTGCCCTTTGGATTTGGTCCCTATGGCAACCAAACACTCACTCCAAAAGGATGTGCTGGAAGAAGCATGTCAGGAGCTGCCTCAATGTTTTAATTCACAGAGTGAGCAATGAATAAATACTGCTACTGACAAGCACAGCCCAGGCAAAAAAGGTTTGTAAACAGCATTAGGGAGCCACAGATGGCTTTTTGCTTTTTAAGATTGAGAAAGTCCACTCTTCCTTTAAACACACCCACTATAATGACCAAGGAAACCGGACAGGAGACAAGCTTTGAGAGTGCAACAGCATGCGAAGGACAGTGCCACAGCATGCTCCAGAAGGAAAATGTGAGGGATGACTGGCTTTTCCTTCAAAACAGGAAGAGTGGCTTGGTATGCAATAAGGAAAAGAAAAGAGTACTTCACTGCGCTGCAGAAGGCAAACTCCTTCAGCATGATCTCAGAGTGTGTGAAATGCGGCTGGAAAGCTCTTTCCAGCTTTCTCCTTTGATGAAGTGTGAATACTTCAATGGGCAGTAGAAATTTTGGAAATACTTTGGTGCCAGAAATGCTTGAGGATAATGTAAGATCTGGCATCTACTAAGATCTAACAGAGGAACATTGTGTTCTGCATCGCCATGGAATCACACCCTGCTAATGAAAAGGTACTATTGAATCTCTTCTTGCATGAGGGTTTATGGCTGGGGAAGGAAATCTCACAAGGCTGGAGGGTGCTGGATGGTGCAAGGCTGCATGGGCTGCTGCGATGCCAGCCTGAATGTACAAAAAGCCTGAAACAATAACTCAAGACTTGTAAACCCAAATGCTTCCTCTTTGCTCCTCTTTACGCTGAGACCTTGGAGCCCCTTTACATCCACTGCAGTGGCCCTGCAATGACCGCTAGGCACAAGCACAACAATTTCTACAAGGCTGCTGGATGGAAGCAGTACCTTCAGCTGCAGGTCATCAAGGCCATGGAAGACATCTGTGATTCTGACATGCATGAGGACTATTCACTGTAGTGAGGGAGAGCCATCCAGCAGAGCACTTACTGCCCTGCTAACGGATGTATGTGGCTTTCTGGGTGGTGGGATTTGCTGGGAGCTCCAGCAGCACACAGCTCTCTCCTCTCTCGCTTCCCAGGCAGAGCTACAGCTCTCACAATCCCCACGTTACCCCCTGAGCTGGAACTGGGCAGGCTCTGCCACAGTGCTAACCTCCGTCTTAGGCACCAAACAAGTACAGACTCAGACGTCTGTAAGGATAATCACAGGAATCACTTCATGCAGAACTGCTGCACATTTTCATTTCAGTACTGGGTGAAGGAAAGAGACAAGGATCTGGGCTTAGCCTGCAGATACTTTTCCAAGACAGTAATTGCTGCATAATTCATATTCTTGTTTTTGCATGTTTGCCATGTCTACCAACAATCCTATTGAATTCACTGTAAGTTTTTCCTTCAAGTCATCTCCATGTCACAGTTTTTCCAAACAGCAGAAACACAAACAAGCAGAAGCCCAGTGTTAAGCAGCAGCTCAGGTTTGGCAAAATCCTGTAATCCCAGATTCTTGCACATTAGGAGGGGAAAGTGGGGTCCAAGCTAATTCTGAAGAGTTTCCACTCCACATTAGCACAGCGGACAACATCTTTCACTCATTATATCAGTATTTCCCTGCAAGCAGTTCTCTGTGAAGTTGGAATTGAGCATTCAAATCTCCACCCAAAGCCACCTGCTCCCCATCAACTCCACAGGCCGGAGGAGTGCTGCCCTGTACATGAGGCAAGGCTCATAAATAGTAAGTATTTCAGACTGATGGGAAATCTCAGCACCGTTAGAAGCAATTTATAGCTTCTGCACCAAAGAGGCTCACAAAGGGAGTGGTAGTGATGATGCAGGCCCTCAGTTCAGCCTTTCATCAACCGTTTGAGGCACCTTTGCTCAGATTAAACTAATTGAAGATTACATACTAGATCCTTGCAGGGAGGGGATTCCTTCTTTTAAGAAATGCATTTGTTCTAATGGACCCCAAGATTGTTAATCAATCCAATGATTATAAATGAAATTTCTAATCTCTCAACGGGGAGAATACAAGTTCTGGTGCCACTGGTTTTGTCTTTGAGGACACAACATGGTTTTGTTTTTGAGGACAACACTCCAAACTGCCAGTGATTTGTTTCAGAGAACCACCTCCTCCCACATTAACATATTCATTTACAAAATCTATCACATATGTTGCGTGCAAACTGGCTGAGAGTTTGATTCAGCTCTGACAGCACAAGAGCCTCTAGCCCAAATATCTGTAAGTAATAAAATCCACACCATCCTCCTGATTCCTCATG